ATTTATTTCAAAACCCCCTTCCCCTCCCCCTTTTCTGATGAAGGGTCTCGGCCCAAAACGTCAGCCTTTCTGCTCCTATGATGCTGCTTGGCCTGCTGTGTTCATCCAGCCCTGCACCTTGTTGTCTCGGATTCTCCAGCATCTGCAGTTCCTACTATCTCATGGCACTGGGAATGGTGACTTTGTACACTTTTCACTGTACTCCTGTATCCTTGTACTTGAGTACACATGACAACAAAACCTAATTCTAATTCTAGATACAAGTTGTTGTTTAAAGGCAACTATTTTTAAAACTACTGCATATTTTCTGATAAAGTTGCTTTATGTTGTGTATCATAACTCCTTTTGAGGAAGGGCCAAAAGACACTGGTAGTGCTTTATTATGTCCTCAGATTTATCAATGTCCTTTATACCCATGGTTATTGAATGTGGTAGTGACTGTTTAGCAATTTGTTGCATAACATTTATTTACTTATGTATGGATGAATGGCCAACTAATATGTTTTTGGTGCTGGTGACTGGGTGTAAGATTTTTGGCCAGGGATACTGGCAGAATTACCTATTGTTCTTCCATGGACACCAAAGAATTTTTTAATTATTTTGAGTTAGTGGCTCTTAGTTTAATATTTTATATGGATGATAGCATGTCATTATTAATGCACTACAATGATTATGTATGTAGTCTTAAAGTAGAACTCAAATCCACAACATTGTGCTGAGGCAGGAATACTACCAAATGTGAGCTAAGTTGACAACAAAATGGATTAGTAAAGGAGGAAATGTTTAAAAAAAATGTTTTTATACACAGCACCTTGTCAGAACCTCAGGATTGTCTGGAGTGCTTTTCAACTAATTAATGATTCATTTTTGCAATGTAGTTACCATTGTAAGGTAGGAAATGAAACAACCAATATGTATTGTCCCACAAGGCATTGCAATAAATGACAGACATGGTTGGAATTTCCAAAACTTATGCCATTTTTTGTGCAATTTGGTGCTGTCAAAGCTGAAGTTCTTGTGCGTGTCACTAGCATATGGACCAGCATAAAATTCATCACTATGGGCTGAATTTTCCGCAAAGTTTAGCTGTATCAATTTTGGGGAACTTCGTAAAGGGTCTGGGAGCTCAAGCAATTTTTTTTAATATAAGTTTACAGTGCTCACCTTACTAAATGTGTCCTGCACGTCCTCGGCAACATTCTCTCCCATCTTGAGCTCACCAGTAGTGGAAATACGTGCTATTCCCTGCACCTTCCACTGCTGTCCGCACCACATTTAAAGCTCAGCTCTACACCAGGTTGAATGCTGCAAGTGAGGAATGGCCCTTCAGAGTTACAGTGTGAAAAATTGCCCCAGCGAAGGCTGAAAGAACTGCGGATGCTGTAAATCAGGAACAAAAACAGAAGTTGCTGGAAAAGCTCAGCACGTTTGGTAGCATCTGCGAAGAAAAATCAGAGTTAATATTCCGGGTCCGGTGACCCTTGTTCTGAAGAAGGGTCACCGGACCCAAAACATTAACTCTGTTTTTTTCTTTACAGATGCTGCCAGACCTGCTGAACTTTTCCAGCAACTTCTGTTTTTGTTATTGATGACTGAAAGAGGTCTGGTAGATGGTTTGGTGGAGACAAGAGCCTTCCTCAGGACTTCCAAAGGAAACCATATCCTCAGAGCCTGCCAGACTGGTTTGAAGTTGCCACCCAGGGAAGTTCCACGGTCAGGAAAAATGCACTGCAATGCAACAAGATGGTTATAGCCACCTTCACTCTGCAAGGGTATGCACCACCATCTTCTGTCTGGTACCTCACACGCACACCTCCCACCGAAATGTATGAACCACCGTTCCGACTATGGCATGCAGCATCTTCTCTCAATTGCTCTCACCCGTGTCATACCGTCAACCACGTTTGCTCACCCACCCACGCACGCCGCTCGCTCGCTCACTCACACTCACTCACTCACACGACTAATCTTTCATGTTGTCTGGGCTTCCTGTTCACTTGCTTGGGACAGCTCGCTGTCATTCCTCTACCCACACTGGCAAAAGCAGCTGTGCTAGCCACTTTCCTCTCCCTCAGTCCCTGCCAGGTCTCATTCCAGGAGGAAATGGAGCTGCACCCTCTACCAGCTCATATACTGATACCTTTGTGGGTAGTTTAGCAAGGTTACTTTCAGGAGCACGTTTTGGTGAGCACATCTCCATAGCTGAACAAGGATGAAACACTCCAGGTTGCTGGCACTCAGAGGACCGCTAGAGACTAGGCACCAGGCAGTGGAGAACCTAATGGAGTCAGCTGTTAACAACTTCGTTAAAATGAGCGCGTCGACGCAGCAAGAGCAGGCAGATTTGTTGAGGAAGTTGGCCAACTGGATTGAAGGTTAGAGGGCTCAGTCCACCCATGTCATCTATATTGCGCTGACTCCAACATGTGTGCATCTGTCTGCCTCCACAGACTGCCATGGAGAGTCAGGTCTAGCAAAATGCTAATTACAGATGTATGCTGACCTGAATGGCAGTGCTTCAGTCATTTAAACAGGTGACAGTGGGATAAACAAAGTTCCTTTTATTCTTTCCAGTTGTTTGGGCCCTGAAAGTCCATGTGCAGCAGTGCCTTACGGAACTGAGGGTTAGTGCTACAATCAGTGTGCAGAACCTTGGAGTGGCTGCATGCGGACACAGCTTAGAGGGAACAAAAACAAAGTTGCTGGAAAAACTCAGCAGGTCTGGCAGTATCTGTGAAGGAAAAACCAGAGTTAACGTTTCGGGTCCGGTGACCCTTCCTCAGTCACCGGATCCGAAACGTTAACTCCGTTTTTTTCCTTCACAGATACTGCCAGACCTGCTGAGCTTTTCCAGCAACTTTGTTTTTGTTTCTGATTTACGGCATTCTTTCGGTTTTTAGCTTAGAGGGAACGTTGGGGCTGAGAGATCTTGATCTCGCTGCAGGCACCCTGTCTTCAGTGTGTACAGTGGTGTCAATACCCATATAGAGCTGTCAAGGACTTGCCTATTGAGACACTGCAGAGGGGCACAGCCCCTCCACTTCTGTTTATAATGCTGAACCCTGCGAATGTTCAAGTTCAGGAAGGTGAGCCTACATCTGGCTAGTGCACGCTCAGCATGTTTGGGCCATTTAGCCACAAATACACCCAGAGTTGTCTGTCCAAAATGAAATTTTCTTTAACTTGGGGCTAAATGATTGTAATGAGCAGAAGATTATTCAGGTATAAGGATCGATAGATATACATAAAAGATCAAGGAAATTCCAGTCCGAAATAATTATATGCATAATACATTTGTGCACAAAACTTCATCATTAATGCCAGCCATTTGCTTTACAATTCTCTGATTGTGATGAATTTTCTTGTATTATTTGCAGTCTGTTTTAGGTACTGGTTAAAGTATAAATGTTGACCATGACACCAAGAGAACTCGCCTGTTTTTCTGCAAGTAGCATCATGGTATTTTTATGCCAGTGAACAGGTGGCATCTCCGAATAACATCTCATCCAACAGTGCAGCACTCTCACAAGTGTGTACCCTGATTATGTGCTGAAGACTCTAGCGTAGAGCATGATATCTTGACTTTCTGGTGGAGGTACAAGTACTACACTGCATTAAGTTGTTTGTCTTGTTTCTTCTCTGGCTGAAGAAAACAATCCAGTAAGTTGCTGAGTCACACAGAATACTCAGGTCCTTTATTCAGGCTTTAGTCTATGGTGAATTAGTTGATGACAAGGACCTCAGCATTTTCAGTTAGGAGAGAAAAATTGCCTGGAGTTCTGTGCACAGTTCACCATTTGTTGAATATTACCAGAAGCACATTTGGCTGTCCAGGTTTCTGTATGAAGGTATGTTAGTTTAAGTGGACTGCTCGTGTTTCTTATCATGTCTTACATACATTTTGGCTGCTTACTGGGTCAAGAGGGTGAACAGATGCTTTGAAATCAAATTCCCACACCAAGTCAAAACCTCAAGAGGAGAATGGAAAAGATAAATTTGGTGAAAAATGGTGGAAGAAGTTTGGGGACAGATTGAAAGGCTGGGTAAGCAAAAGTATTGATTATTAGCCCCAGAAAGCATGACTGCTCCTTTTATCGTATGTATCTGGTATTTCTTCTGACCTCCAGAAGATATGGCACCACTTTTCACAGTAATGTATCATTATTCAACTTTTGCTTGACATGTTATGAACTATATTCTACACTGAATGTAGTTTCTTTCAAAGGATAAGCATACTTGTTTCCTCTTAGGAGAATTGAGAACTAGGGACCTTTTTTTAAAAAAAACAAGGAGTTTCCCTTTTAAATCAGATGAAGTGAATGTGTTTTTTTTTGAATGTCATGAGTCTTTGGAACTTTCTTGTTGCAGAGCTTGTGGAGGTAGAGTCTATTGTGGAAGGGGAGGCAGATAGATTCTCGTTATGTAAGGAGGTGAACGGTTAATGGGTTAGGCAGGACTGCAGGTATGAGGTTATAATTGGATCAACCAGATTATTAAATGCTGGAACAAGCTTGAGAAACTGGTCTGCTCCCGCTCCTAATTCAGAAGTTTGTATATTTGTCCTGTGATATTGCTGAATTTTATAAATTGTTATTCTAATTTTTTTTCTGTTTCAGGGTCATATTAATCATATGGCTGACTAAAAGGCAAGAAGATCATCATGTAAAACTGAAGAGACTTTTAATGGCATTATGAAGATTCTACAAGAAATATCTAAATTTCTTAATAATATTTTATTACTAGGTACTGTTTTCAAATTTAGCCAAGATTTTATCTTTTTGTACTTGAACTGTCTAATTTACAATACTTATTGTTATAATAAAGGCAGAACAACATTTATTTTCTCATCAAAAGAAATTAAATGATTGTCAGCAAGGTGTTTTCCGACAATGTATGTTTACGAAAGTTATAACTTTGAACTTTAAAGGAATGAAGATAATATGTGACATTAGTGCTACAGTAAAGAATTGATGACAGTGTGCTGTTTACTAAAGATTTTTAAATCACATTGTTCTTCAGAAGATTTTTTTTAAAAGGCTTCATTGCCTGATTGCCTGATTGAAAATCAATGATCAATGGCATTTGATTTTAAAACATTGTAAATTGGCTACATTTTTGGCTGCGTTTTTCACATGTGCCAGAATATAAATAACTTTAAACTACGTGGTATTTCATTTATAAGTTGAGTGTACAGAGTGTTTGTTATTCTTCTCCCACTTCTTTCATCTTTTTAAGAAACAGGTGGCTCTTCTGGTTTACAATTCCGTGTGTGTCAGCAAACTCATCATAGAATCCCTCATAGAATCCCTACAGTGTGGAAACAGGCCCTTCGGCCCAACAAGTCCACACCGAACCTCAGAACATCCCACCCAGACCCATCCCCCTATAACCGAACAGCCATTATAGAGGAGTCTGACTGTGTTTACACACTCCCATTTCCCAAAAGCTGACCAGATAGCAAGCCCAGAAGTGCTAAAGTCATTTTATTGTCTTGTTAGCTAGATAATCAACAGTGCAACAAAATGATGTTAATATATGGCCTGCACTGCTGCCCTCTGTAACCCTCACCTTATCTCTAACTCATCAAAAAGATCACAGCTTTTGACTAAATTTGGGTTTCTGCCATACCTGTTGGTGGTCTTGAATTTAAGAGGTCGGGCAAACAAAGTATTGGGGTTATCTGCTAGTGTCAAATCCAGTCTTTCTCAGCATTGCCCAGGTTGATGTGCTCTGCATGGAAGTTAGTAAGAGGATGACACTGCTTTCCTCTTCCCAGAAAATAAATTTGTGTCTCCTTTGTATTATCTTCAATGGACTGGCTGGTACCATTTTATCACTTTGTGATGGCGTATATAAAGTATGTCGTACTTTTTTAACAATGAAAATATTAAAAATTTGATGCCACTTTTGATAATGTATTTGTGTTTTGAAGAATACTCCAAGAAGCTCAATACTAAATTTTTAATATATCTTGTGTTTAGAAAATATTTACAAGCATTTGTATTACTTTTGCTACAAGCTATTGTAATTTGAAACTGTTTCTCGTGCAAAATTCTGTTTTATTTTGCAAAACCTTATTCTGAAACAAATGTGCTAGACATGGGATTATTGGTGTCTCAAGCAAGCAAAGTTTTTTGCACAGATCATGGAGGGAATTCTAAATATTCAGTATTGATACTGTTCAGAATATTTTTGTCTACTTGATATGTATCTGTATTTAATGGGCATTACATTGCTTTTTGTGCTGTATTTAGGTTTAACTAAACTTTTGATCTAAAATAAAATTGGTGCTATTATTTAAGGAAGTTTGATTTTTATTTGTCGTTATGAGTGTTTCTTCGATATAAATTGTCAATTTTCTTTAATGTCAGGGCTCTCTTTATCATTTGCTTCCTCTTTTAAACATCAGGTAACCTAAGCAACCTATTGAGCTATTCGCTGGGTTCTTTATCAGTCAGGTGTCCAATTTGATAATCTATTTGGGGATGGTGGAGTACATCCATCTAGTCTCTTCAATATTCTCCCTGATGGTATAGAATGAGTAACCATAAAATGTTACTGTTTTGTGTTCTGTGAAACATTTTGAGACCAATATTTATTCAAAGTTCATTCCTCTGAATAAGGTCTCCCAAGCATTATGCATCAACTCAGAATATTGATTTCTACTTTGCTGATATCAGTAACAGAACGATTGAATTCATGACTGAACTATTACAATTTGAAGTGGTCCTTTTGTTACTTGATGTTGGTTCTAAGCATCAATTCATTCCCAAGCTCAGCAGTTCTACTGACAGTGAGTCTGAGAATTAAATCTGAGGACCAGCAACTATCTCTGCCACATGCAAAATTAGATATCCTCGGGTCATCATACCAGACCGAACATGAATATTTTGCCTAAATGCAATGTTTCAACTAAAATTAATATAGTAGGAAATGTAATGCTGAACTTTTTATTTCTTTATTTTTCTTATTTACTGCCAAGATCCTGCACACAGGTACCTTTGTATCTAAGATGGCACCATAAGTGGTGACTTTGTAAACTTTTCACTGCACTCATGTCAGTACGTGTGACAATAAATCTAACTCTAATTCTAAATATTCAGGTTTAATAATATATCCTGCTCTGTCACTGTGCATGGTTTAAGATGTATTTCAATTTTTTGTTTGTTATTGCAGAAAATACTGTTTAAAACAACCAAGTGATAGTGATACTAAAATGTTCAGCAAAAGTAGTTTTATGCTGTGATCATTGAACTTAGAGTGCATTGCTCACCAGAATACAGTTGCTATACTAAAATGAGAAGTGAAGATTTTAAGCCATGTTGTTTCATCACTCTGGTTCCAAATCCTTTTATGGTGGAATGGTTGAGTTGAATTCTATTGAAAAATGTTCAATACAAAAACACAATGAATAAGGCACTGTTAATATTTCCATATGGATGGCTGGAGTAATTATTCGATGAGGCAAACAGAGATTTACCTGGAGGTGTTGTAGTACTCTGGTTCTATTTGTGAATTATCTCATGAATGTGACTAACTGGTTTTAATCTGTGAGCGAGAAGAAATCAGCCTAGAAAACATGTTAATTAATAGTACAATATAATTTCAGATTAGTATTTGAGGGACAAAAGATTACAACAAATTCTTGAATATATGATCAAAAGAATTGGAGTTCTTATAATCCAGACAATGTGATTAAAATTAGCATGTTACAGTGAAGGGATAAATGTGGATGTTTAATGAGAGCTTTTGTGTACTTAATTGAGTTTGCACATGAAAGGATGAGAATTCTGGATGTGGAGATATATTTATTGGTTTAAAGCATTTGACATTTGAAAATTATACTTTTCTAGAGACATGACGTGGGGTCAGTTAGCTCAGTTGGCTGGATGGCTAGTTTACGATGCAGAGTGACACCAAATAATGTGGTTTTCAATCCCACACCAGTGAAGGTTACCATGAAGGATTCTCCTTCTCAACCCATCCCCTCACCTGAGGTGTGGTGACCTCGGGTTAAACCATCACTAGTCATCTCTCTGTAATGAGAGAGCAGCCTGATAGTCGGGTAAGACTGTGAATGCTTCACCTTTTTTACTTTTAGGATGTCTCCTCGGTTCTCCACAATTGATTTCTGACCTAAGCTAGCAGCTGTTTTGCTGGAGTTGGACTTCCTTTGTCAGTATGAATAGTTTACAGCAGTTATAGTGCTTCTGTGGGACTGAGGCCAGAGGACTAAGGGGAGCAGCAGGTGTAGGGAGACAGTCCTGGACAACTAATACTGGGGAGAATAGCACTGTGCAGGGGAAGATTCCCTAAGTACATCTTTAAAGGTAACTTCTACCCTAATTTTGCTGAAGAGGAAGGTTCCATTCCCTTCCCTTCTCTTCTCTAAGGAGGATATCACCAAGCAACATCACTTACTGTAGTCACAACACAATTCTGAGCGTAGGTCATGGATTGCACTGTCTTGGCTAATTTTGAAGCCAACCACCATCTTCCAGTTTGCTCAAATGCCAGTGTAGCTTCCATTCATAGAGTAATGGAGTCATACAGCATGGAAACAGACCTCTCGGTCCAACTCGTCCATGCCGACCATCTTCCCAAACTAAACTAATCCCACTTGCCTGCAGGCTATGTGGATTAGCCATAGGAAATGCAGGGTTACATGTAGGGTAGGGGGTTGGGTGTGAGAGGGATGCTCTGCAGAATGTCGATGTGGACTCGATGAGCTGAACAGCCTGTTTCCATACTGTAGGGATTCTATTCTGTCACATGGGGAGATGGTCAGGCTGGCAGGAAGCAGCCAGAATTTTAACTGTTTGTTTTTTCAGCTGTGTTTTAAGTCAAAAGTCTTGTACCTGCAGGACAGAGGTTTGGTTGTCCTCTTGTTAACAACTTATTGAAAGTTCAGAGAATAGAATCTCCATTATAAGAATTAAATGAATATTCCTTGGAACCTACTGGAAGCTACATGCATTCATCGGTGTTGTCAGAAACCAAGGTAAGATATCATCCCATATATCAGTGATGTTACAGATTGAGGAGTCTGTTTATGTTAATTGGCCAGTTACACTTCATTTATTTTCCCCTTTTGATTTATTTCTTAACTGTTTCTGTTTGTTTGTCATCTTTATGTGAGAGTGGGGGGGAATGTTAAAGAGGATTGGGTTTAAATCTTAGACATTAATTGGAATTCTTAATAATAACTGAAAGAACATGAATTTGAATATCTTGTTGTTTAACTTTGCCCTGCTAAAGTTACTGTGGTGTTAATAACATATTTAAGTCTTTTATTTGAACTATAAGCTTGAAATCTAGAATTGATTATTCACAAAGTCTAGTACTGCTTATTCAAAAAATGTGATTTGGAACAATTGGGGTCAATTTTGATGGTCACTGGGTATTTTAATTTTACTGTGTTGCAAATACAGAGACAGGGAGGCTGATTTGATTTCACTGTCTGTCTCAATGTCATATCACAATTCAAAGGCATATGACTTTTCAAAATGACAGGCGTGAAAGAAAGAGTGTTGGCATGGTTTTGTTAGATAAAATAAGTATAATAGCAAAAAATTATTTTGGATTAAAAGATGTAGAATCCACATGGGTGGAGGTAAGAACAAGAGGAAGAAGACTCTGGTGGGAGTACTCTATAGGCCCCTGTTCTGTAGGGCGATGAATAAATCAGTAGATAAATAGAGCATGTAAAAATGGCAGTCCATCAATCATGGATGACTTAAGCTTGTAGATTGGGATCATCAAATTGACAAAAGCAGCCATGAGGAAGAATTCATAGAATGTATTTGCAATAGCTCCTTAGAAAAATATTATGTGGATCCAGCTTTGGAATCAGGTTATTTTATGGCAATGTTAACGTGTATTGAAGTAGCTTTGATAAACAATCTGAGTCATATTGGGTCAGGAACAACTGCGCTAAATTTAAATGTGGATAATTACATGAGAATGAGGGCAGAGCCACTTGGAGCCTGGGAAAAGAGTTTAACAGAAAAGGCAGGTGAGGATTAATGACGTACATTTCAGAAAATAGTTCACAACTCCTAGCAAAGGCACACCCAAGTGCGGAAGGAAGATTCTAGGAAGGAGATAGACTAACCATGATTAGACAGGGAGGTTGAGGATGGTATGTAATTGAAAGGGAAAAAAAGCGTGAGGTTTAGAAAAGGTTTGAAAATCGAAAGGTGACCATACAAAAAAAAGGAGAAAATAAATAACTATGTAAAACTAGCAAAGTAAATAAAAAGAATGGACAGTAAGACCTTCTTTAAATATATGTTTGGGAGAATAGAGGCAACAGTCAACATTGATGCCTTAGAGAATGTGGCTAGGGAAATAATAATTGGTAGTCAAGACATGGCAGAAGACCTGAACAAAGTCTTCAATCAACCTTAATGGTAGAAGACACAAATAGCATTCCAAAAATACTGGATAATCAGAGGTTTATAAGAAGAGGGGGTGTGTGATTGGAGCAAATAATACAACAACCGTTGCTAGAGGAAACGTAATATGGAAACTATTGCAACTAAGAGCTGACAAGTCCCCAGCCCAGAAGGATCACATCCTAGGATTTTAGAAGAAGTATCAGCAGAGATGGTGGATGCACTGGTATAATCTTCGATGAATCCTTAGACACTGGAAAGGTCTGAGACAATTGGAAACTACCAATGTAATGCCCTTATTCAAAAATGGCAGAAGACATAAAAGGGGTTAACTATAGACCAATTCGCTTAAAATCAATCGTTCCAAAATTGTTCATGTCTTTTTTAAAGGATGTAATAACGGAGCATTTAGAAATATGTAATATAAACAAGCAGAGTCACCATGAAGTGGAAATCATGCTTGACAACTTTATTATAGTTCTTTTGAGAAAGTAACAAGCAGACTCGATAAAGAGCAACCAGTAGATGTAATATATTTGGACTTACAAAAGAGATTCGATAAGGTATCACACATAGGGCTACTTAAAAAGATATGAGCGTATGGTGCTGAAGATAGTATATTCACACGGATAGAGGACTGGCTAATTCATAGAAGACAGAGTTGGGATAAAGAGAGCACTTTCAGGATGGCAGTTGTAATAAGTGGAGTACCACAGTAGTCAGTGTTGGGGCTTCAATTATTCATAATATCTATTAACGACTTGGATGATGGAAGTGAATGCACTATCTCTAAGTTTGCAATGACACAAAAATAGGTAGAAAGCAAGTGGTGAGGAGGACATGGGGAGTCTACAGAGGGATTATTGATAGATTAAGTGAGTAGGCAAAACTTGATGGATGGAAT